CCTCCATATTATTAGTCCAGCCCATATTAGGAATGTTTAGCCCAAGCCCAACGATTAATTTAATTTTAAGTGACTAAGCAAATGCAACTTACTGGGGGAAATTGAGTTTGCAGGGCCATTGGAACCACCATTGATGGTGCAATATATAGTCCTATTGACATGTACTATGCCAGTGGATTTTTGGCTTCTGCAAATGGTAATTTTTATACTCTCTCTGTCATGAAAACAACAATTTGTTTGATTTTTGAGTTAGATGGTTTACATCTAGCACTTGACAAAACGATTCGTGTAAAAGACTTGGTTAACAATTAAGTGTAACGTCATGCGATGGACTTGCGTAATTTCCATAATGATATTGTGCAAAACATGTGTTTATTCGTTAACAAATTCTATAATCGGTGTTTACGAAAAATGATTTCAGATGTTGAGAGACTCTTTCATCAGTTCATGGAATTGGTAATGAGAAACTTATGGATGAACTTGTACACCAGTATTGGGATTAACATCAGATCTTATTTAACATTTTCTCATTCTTTGGTTATACTATCTCCACCGATTCTGCTGCTACTCACGCTTCGGTTAGTTCATGGATGAACTCTTTCCTAGAAGACAATTGGGGTTTCCATATCAGTGTCTTTAGCACTCCATGTGATCGAGTAAACCTTTAGAAAACCAATATCGGACAAGTTCACATACATCAATTGTCGAGGCCCCGGATACAAACGGAAAAACAGAAAACAACATTTGATATGCTCATCATGAAATCAATCATAACTCCATTTTAAGGTATAAAAATACCTTATCTTCAATCCCTTTTATAGGAGGGATTGACCTTTGCAAGGTGCTTAAGGCGTCTTTATGAAGTGCAACCATTGATTTTTCCCTCATAGTTGCTTCAAATTAAGACGATGAAAGCTAAAGCCAAGCCACCACATTCCTTGGCAACCACCTCGGCTAAAGGTCTAATATTTTATGCCCGACTACTTGCCATGCATGCTAACAAAACAATCCCCACGCCTCTTCGTCATTTAGAGAATTCACTTCAATATTGATATCTGTCAACTGATAGAAAAACATAATAGGGATTATAAATTCAAATGCTTTTCTCATATAAACCCTAAATAAGACTCCATATTGAAACTAGAGAAAATAACGAAATAGCGAAAATATAAAC